TCACGTTGAGGGCGTGGCCCCGATCGTCGGAGGGAAAACCATAGAGTTTTCCCTCCGACGATCAGGGCCACGCCCCCAACATGATTGACGTGATTGCGTCACCTCTGGTGACGCAGCCACGCTGCGCTTCGGGGAGCGGAGTTCCCCCCGGGGCCCAATTCCGCGGCAGCGGAAATCGGGCCTCCAAAGCGGGGGGTTACCCGCCACCCGCCCCCACTTGGCAGCCCTAGATGTCGGGGGATTGAACCTGGGACCTTCTGCATGCCAAGCGGAGGCTTCCCTCTAAGCTGAGTTAGTGTGAGCTAGCTCACAGTTTCTAAGCCTCTGGCTCACACATTTTTGTCTCCGCTCATGAAGGAAGGGTCCAGAGCAAACTGATTTATGCAGGAGCCAAACCGCTCGCTCACAACTTTCATGCCAGCAGCTCACAAAGTAGAATTTTTGCTCACAAGACCCTCCACAGCTTAGAGGGAGAGTTGTAATCAGTGCTCCCTCTAAGCTGTGTCAGTGTGAGCTAGCTCACAGTTTCTTAGCCTCCGGCTCACACATTTTTTGCCTTAACTCAGGAAAAGGAGGGCTCCAGAGCAAACTGATTTATGCAGGAGCCGAATCGCTCCCTCACAACTTTCATGCCAGCAGCTCACAAGGTAGAATTTTTGCTCACAGGACTCCACAGCTTAGAGGGAGCATCAGCTCTACCACTGAGCTACAGCCCACCCCTTAAAAGCCAACTGATGGCAAGGGCAGAAATGACTGAGCAATCTGTGAACCAACACGGAGCTGCCTTCTACTGAATCAGTGGCTCTCCAGGGTCTCAGGCTAGGGTGGTCAGGTTTTACCGGGCGTTGTGGTGGGGGGCTCCCACCTCCCACTGGACCATAGATTTTTGGTCAAAACACTAGAGTGTTGATGTGCGACGTGCCCAGTGTGATGACAACATCACGCTGATGCCGACGCCACGGGAGGGGGCTGTTTGGGGGTGGGGCTTCCCCAGCCAGGCAGCTGTCCGGTGGTAGATGGGAGCCCCCGAAATCAGGAAAAACCCCACCTCAATCAGGGGTCTTCACATCACCCACTCCTTGGTCCTTTTAACTGGAGATGCCGGGACTGAACCGGGGATCTTCTGCATGCCAAGCAGAGGCTCTTCCACTGAGCCACAGCCCCTCTTTTCAGCCCTCCAGGGTCTCAAATGGAGGTCTTTCAAATCACCCACTGTCTGGTCCTTTTTAACTGGAGATGCCGGGGATTGAACCTGGGACCTCCTGCATGCCAAGCAGATGCTCTTCCACTGAGCCACAGCCCCTCTTTACAGCTCTCCAGGGTCTCAGGCAGAGGTCTTTCCCATCACCTACTGCCTGGTCCTTTTAACTGGAGATGCCGGGGATTGAACCTGCGATGTTCTGCATACCGAGCAGAGGCTCTGCCACTGAACCACAGCCCCTCTTTACAGCCCTCCAGGGTCTCAAGTGGAGGTCTTTCACATCACCCACTGTCTGGTCCTTTTTAACTGGAGATGCCGGGGATTGAACCTGGGACCTCCTGCGTGCCAAGCAGATGCTCTGCCACTAAGCCACGGTCCAGGCTTACCAAATACTTACTGTGATTCGGCGGGGGACACATACTTCTTCCCAGCCCTCCAGGGTCTCAGGCAGAGGTCTTTCACATCACCCACTGTCTGGTCCTTTTTAACTGGAGATGCCAGGGGACTTTCTGCATGCCAAGCAGAGGCTCTGCCACTGACCCACGCCCCCTCTTTAATTTCACATTGCCCAGCCAACCCCTCTACCTAAGGAGGCCTTTCGAAACGGAGCCCTGCAGAACCTCAAACCTGCCTACGCAACCCCTCCTCACCAGCATTTTCTGATGTACAGGATCCAGCTGTTCCTAGGGAAAGGCGTTCTGTGCATGCTCAGGAGCCTCTTACCCATATTCTAGCATCGTCGAAAGAGCACCGCACCTGGGCTTGGGGGCAGAGCTGGGCTCAGGCTGGGGCGAAAGTGACAACCATCAGGGATCAGCACCCCGACATGAGGTGAAGCCAGCTTATGGCAGGCTTAAGGTGGTCCGAAGAAAGGAATTTGAACTTCAGAAGAGTAAATCCAGGGAAGTCGCTCTTTCCTTACCTTCATAGGTCCAGTGGGAACCTGCAAACAAAACGGAGAAGTGGCTGAGTCAAGACAGATTAAGAGAGCTTCGCGGCATGCATCACTAGAATGATCAAAGGGTTGGAACACTTCCCCTATGAAGAGAGGTTAGAGCGCTTGGGGCTCTTTAGCCTGGAGAAATGACCGCTGAGGGGTGACACAATCGAGGTTAACAAGATTTTGCAGGGGACAGAGCAGGTCGAGAAAGAGGTACTTTTCTCCCTTTCTCACAAGACAAGAACTCATGGTCACTCCATGAAATTGCTGAGCGGTCGGGTTAGAACAGATAAAAGGAAGTAGTTCTTCACCCAAAGAGTGATGAACACATGGAACTCACTGCCACAGGAGGCTACAAGCATGGACGGCTTCAAGAGGGAATTGGATAAGCATATGGAGCAGAGGTCCATCCGTGGCCATTAGCCACAAGGTGTAGATAGGAACTCTTGGTCTGGGGCAAGGGATGCTCTATATTCTTGGAGCTTGGGCAGGGGGGGGGAACAGTGGGAGGGGCTTCTAGTGTCCTGGCCCCACTGCTGGACCTCCTGATTACTCCTGGTATTTCCGGCCACTGTGTGACACAAAGTGTTGGACTGCATGGGCCACTGGCCTGGCCTGATCCAACATTGGCTTCTCTTATCTACTTATGTCTGGGGCAGGGATGCTCTGTCTTCTTGGTGCTTGGGGGGGGGGGGTCAACAGTGGGAGGGCTTCTAGTGTCCTGGACCTCCTGAGGGCACCTGGTATTTTTGGCCACTGTGTGACACAGAGTGTTGGACTGGATGGGCCACTGGCCCGATCCAACATGGGTTTCTCTTCTGTTCTCTTATGTTCTTATGTTAACACCGCCTTTAATGAAGCCCAGAGTTCCCCATAACAACATACGGATTGCCCCGCTGGAACACACGGAGCTGCCTTAGACTGAATCAGACCGTTAGCCCATCCAGGTCAGTTGTGTCCACGCAAGCCGGCAGCCGATCTCCAGGGTCTCGGGCCTTTCACCTCCCCTCCTGTCAGATTCTTTAACTGGGAACTGGATCTGATATCTGAGGCATGCCAAGCAGGTGCTTTGGCCACTGAGCAGAGTTTGGCATCTAGCAACCAGCCGGATGCCTCCCTGGGAAGCAGCGCCACACACACACCCCTCCACTGTTTACCCACAGCCCTTGCCTCTTCAGAGGTAGACTGCCTCGGAATACGAGGGTTCCTTTCTTAGTTGCAACTGTTTGGTGTCGTGGTTAAGTCCGTGGGCTCTAATCTGGGAGAACCGGGTTTGAGTCCCCACCCCTCCACACGCAGCTGCTGGGGTGACCTTAAATCAGTCACAAGTTCCCTCAGAGTTGTTCTCTCAAGGGCGGTCCTCGAAAGAGCTCTCTCAGCCCCACCTACCACGCAGGGTGTCTATTGTGGGGAGGGGAAGAGAAAGGAGATTGTAAACTGCTCTGAGACTCCTTTGGATAGTGAAGAGTGGGGTCGAAATCCAACCTCCTCCTCTTCCTCTTCCTCCTCTTCCTCCTCTTCTTCTTCTTCTGAAGTTTTATTCTGCACACGAAAATTTACACCCAGGATTAAACTTTCTTGGCCTAAAGGTGCCACTGGACTCAGACTCTGTTCTGAAGTTTTATTCTGCACGCGAAAGCTTAAACCCAGGATTAAACTTTCTTGGTCTTAAAGGTGCCACTGGATTCAAGCTCTGTTCTGAAGTTTTATTCCGCACACGAAAGCTTACACCCAGAATTAAACTTTCTTGGTCTTAAAGGTGCCACTGGATTCCAACTCAGTTCTATAGTTTTATTCTACACACGAAAGCCTATACCCAGAATTAAACTTTCTTGGTATTAACAGTGCCACCAGACTCAAACTCTGTTCTTCTGTAAAGGATGTTTCAGTTTGCACTGAACGGATCCCCACTGAAACTCAGGGGGCTTACTTCTAAGTAGCACAGAGTTTCAGGCTGCAGAAGACAGCGACTGACCCAGGTAGAGTTGCCAACCTCCAGGTACGGGCTGGAGATCTCCCAGAATCACAACTGAACTCCAGACAACATAAATCTCTTTCTATTAATTACTTATTTAAAACATTTATTCCTCTTATCCTGGAGAAAATGGCTGCTTCGGCAGGTGAATGGCATGGTGGCCGTATACCCTACTGAGGCCCTTTCCTAAACCCCTCTCTCCTAGACTCTGCCCTCAAATCTCCAGGTATTCCCAAATCTGGAGTTAGCAACCCTAGATCTGGGGAACTTCATGGCTATTGCTGAGCTGAGACTCGAACTCAGCTCTCTTCAGGGCAAGTCCCAGGCACATGGAGTGGGTGGCCCCCCTCCAACCGCAGGGTGGACTCCGACGTAGAGGCGGGCTTTGGATCCCAGCCAGCCAATCTCCTTCTAGCTTCTGCCCGGAGGGTGGCGGCTTGTTTGAGGTCCTGGCCTTTCAAACCTGCCCTCTATCAACAGCCACTTTGGAGAAGGTCCCCCGTCCCCCGTCACCCATTGTAACAGAGAGACAGAGGAGCAAAAAAACCTCTTCTCCAGTTACAGCTTTGAAAACAGTGGTGTTTTGGCTCTTGCTCTAAATATACCATTGCATTAATATTTCTCGCCCGGAACCCTTCTTTTTTTGGACAAGTCTAGAGAAGTTAGACGCGCACACAGAAACACAAAAAGTCCGGATTAGAGCCAGTGTTGACAGAAGAGATAAGGGGAGCCGAATTTGCTCAACACCAGAGAGGGCAGCTGGTCCCTGGGGCAGAGAGGTGACCTGCAGACGGAAGCCTCTCACCCTGTTTCTAAAATTACTCTTGCAGTGTGAGAAGAGATCTGGCAAAAGGAGAGTCTCTCTCTCTCCACCCATCTAAGTTAGGAAAAAACGTCAGGACTTAAGGTTGCCAGATCCAGACTGGGAAACACCTGGAGATTTGGGGGTGGGGCCGCCTGGGGAGGACAAGGAGATCATAGACGGTTAGAGTCGGAAGGAACCTTGCAGGTCATCTAGTCCAACCCCCTGCACTCTGCAGGAGCATAGCCGAAAGAGAGCCCTACAACATACCCGAAAGTGGGTCATCCAGCCTCCGCTTGAAAACGTCCAGAGAAGGAGCATCCACCACCTCCCCAGGCAGACTTTTCCACTGCTCAACCACTCTGACAGTCAGGAAGTTTCTCCTGATATCTAGCCGGTCACGACTCCCTTGTCATTTCCACCCATTAGATCTACTCTTGCAATGCGGAGCAAGAGAAAATAGATCCGCTCCATCTTCTACATGACAGCCCTTCAAATGCTTGAAGACTGCAATTGTGTCCCCTCTAAGCCTCCTCTTTCCCAGGCTAAACAGACCCAACTCTTTCAGCCTTTCCTCGTAAGACTTGGATTCCAGCCCTCTCACCACCCTGGTTGCCCTCTTCTGGACACGCTCGAGCTTGTCAACACCTTTCCTCAAATGTGGTGCCCAAAACTGGACACAGGACTCCGGGTGAGGCCTGACCATAGCAGAATAGTGGAGGACAATGCCACAGAGCCATCCTCCAAAGCAGCCACTTTCTCCAGGGGTGGGTGGGGCTGAGAGAGCTCTTGACAGAAACGGCTCTTTTTCAAGAACAGCTGTGCCAAAGGTCACATCAGCAGGTCCAAGTGGAGGAGTGGGGAATCAAACCCTGTTCTCCCAGATTAGAGTCCGCGCACTTAACCACTACACCAAACTGGCTCTTCAAAGGAGTTTGTAAGCCACTCTGAGACTCCAAGTGAAGGACGGGGTATAAATCCAATCTCCTCCTCCTCCTCTTCTTCTTCTTCCTCTCCCTCCTCCTCCGTTGTCCTCTGGAGTTTGCTTAACTTCATGTTCGTTGCATCAGTAACACTGTCTAACCATCTCATCCTTTGCCGTCCCCGTCTTCTTTGACCTTCAATCTTCCCCAGCATCAGGTGAGGGCTCCCTTCTCATTGGGTGGCCAAAGTATTTGAGCTTCAGCTTCAGGATCTGGCCTTCCGGGGAACAGTCAGGGTTGATTTTCTTTAGGACTGAATGATCTTATCTCCTGGCAGTCCAGGGGACAATCAAGAGTCTTCTCCAGAAGGCTGAGCAGTTGCTGATTTTGCAGTTGCTGAGCAGTTGCTGATTTTGCCTGTTTGCTGGCTGGCACTTGCCGAAGGCCTCGCTCAGACGAGCAAAGCTGTCAGGGTGGAGCAACAGGGGGAAGAGCAATCCCACAGATATGAGGGTCCAAGGCCACAGACGGCCACATGATGGCCAGCGTCTTAAGCGGATTCTGGTAACTGAAGGACAACCAATGGAGTGACTGCAGAACGGGAGTGACGCGCAGGCTCCGTCTGGTTCTCGATAATGACCCTGCTGTAGCATTCTATACTCAGTGGATTCTCTGGACTGACTTGCGGGGGGAGACCTATGCACAGTGCATTACAGTAGTCTAGTCGAAGCAATGGTATTCCCAGTAGGAATGTATGGCTGCAAGTGTTGGACCATAAGGAAGGCCGAGTGCCAAAGAATAGATTCTTTTGAATTGTGGTGCTGGAGGAGACACTTGAGAGTCCCTTGGACTGCAAGGAGATCAAATCAGTCAGTCCTAAAAGAAATCAACCCTGACTGTTCCCTGGAAGGCCAGAGACTGAAGCTGAAGCTCAAATAGTTTGGCCACCAAAGGAGAAGGGAGCCCTCACTGGAGAAAACCCTGATGCTGGGAAAGACTGAAGGTCAAAGAAGACGGGGACGGCAAAGGATGAGATGGTTAGACAGTGTCATTGATGCAACGAACGTGAAGTTGAGCAAACTCTGGAGCACAACGGAAGACAGGAGGGCCTGGCGTGATGTGGTCCATGGGGTCTCAGAGAGTCGGACTCGACTGTGCGACTGAACAACAACAAAAGTCTCGATGTCACCATGGCATGGATCTAGGTGGCCAGATTGTCCATATTGTCCGTATCAGGGTAGGGGGCCATCTTCCAGGCTAGGCTGAGTTGACCCACTTAGGCTAGCTCTCCCAGTGAGTTACA